CCCCGCCATCATCTCCTTCTTTTCCTGGTGGTGGCAGGACCTTCGGGAGGAGTGCATCAAGCTGAAGAAGAGAGTGTTTGACCTCGAACGGCAGAACCAGATGCTGAGCTCGCTGTTTCAGCAGAAACTCCAGCTCACAGCAGGCTCCCTCCCTCAGGTGGGCATATGCCATTCTCCTTCCCTTGTCATATCTGTTTCCTACCTCCCCAGCCCCATCATTATCACCACCCTCTTTTCTCCCAACACCTACAGGAGCACGCTGTCCAGCTCTCCCCTCCATTCCAGGGGCAGTCCATCTAGGGAAGGCCCACCTAGCCTGATAGATCTGAGCCTTAGATAGGGTGTAAAAACTCCCTGAGTCCCCTCAACTGGGCTGCTCAACCTTGTAGGTGCTCTCTTCCCAACTGGATGGGATCCCTTCTTGTTGACAGAGAAGGTTCTTGCTGGCTCTCACCCTGCTTGGAGAAATGGGTGGAGGCTGAAAATGTAATTATTCATCCTCCCAAGGGGCCCCTTTGGCCACTGCATTGCCTCTTCCTGGCCAGGGGCAGGGGTGGGACTGGGTGGAAGGCACCCAGTGCTTGGCGTCACAGAGAGGTCAGGAAAGGCACTTGACCGGATAACTCTGTGTGTGCGTATGTTGCATACAGGGTGGGGCAAAAATAGGTTTACAGTTGACTCAAGCATGGTCACAGACCCTGGTCCCTGCTTCTAGCCTTGACACCTGCCTTACCCAGGATAAGCAGGAGCCTACTAGGGGTGAATCCTGTGCCCATTTGGTGTTACTCTGTCAGGAAGCCTCAAGGATGGGGTGAGACATGGGGGTGGGAGGGTCAGGAGCAGCTCCAGGTACCTGAGGTGAACAGCAGGTTCTGAAGTCAGCCGGCGCACCCCTCACTCCACCTCTGACCTTGACAAGGAGAGAAATACCTTCTGTGTGTGTATCTGTCTGATACAAACCTGGCAGCTCTTGGCTTTCAGTCCCTGAGCAGGAGGCCCTCAGCTCCCTGAGAAGCCTGACCCCTGGGAGAGGAAGCCTGTCGTCACCATGGCCTGTTTAGAGCCCCCATCTACCAGGCTGGTGCAGAGCTGGGTGAATCAGTGGCATGGACTGCAGCTCCCCCTGCCCTGGGTCTTGCCCAGCTACAGGGTTCATCCTGGAATTCCAAGAGGCCTAATGACACTGGCCCATCTCACCCCATCCATACCCATCTCAGTAACTGGTGATAAAAGAAGTATAGATCATCCTTAAATAATTTCTTTTTTATTTAAATGATTCTGGGAGCCCGGTCGGGTGTGCTTAGCGGTTGAGCATCAACCTAGGATCCAGGAGATCACGGTTCGATTCCCAATCAGGGCACATGCCCCGGTTGCAGGCTCGCAGCCGATTAGTGATGACTTTCTCATCATTGATGTTTCAACTCTCTCTCTCCCTCTCCTTTCCTCTCTCTGAAATCAATAAAGATATATTTTAAAAATTAAATAAGTAAATAAATTGGGGAAGCTTTCCATAGATAGATAGATAGATAGATAGATAGATAGATAGATAGATAGATAAATAAATAGATAAATAAATAAATAAATAAATAAATAAATAAATAAATAAATGATTCTGGGATTTAAATTTGGGATTTTTAGGGTTTGGGGCAATAGATTTATCTTCCCCAGAGGTAACATGATAAAATGGAAAGAGCATGGACCTTGGCCTCAGATAAGCTTGGGTTGGATCCCTAACTTAGCTAATCCTTAGCTGTGTAACCTTGGGCAAATTAATAATCTTACAAACCACAGCCTTTCCTTATAGACAGGAATAAGAGCACCTATATTGCATGTTGTCATGAGGATTAAATGAGATAATATATAGTGCTTGGCCCATAGTACACAGTCAATATTTGGCAGCAGGTATTTATCATTATTAATGTTATTTCCAAGTTGTGCTTTGCTAGGATGAAAGCCCCATTGAGATGCTAATTAAGCTCTTACTGTGAGTATGCCTTTGCCAACACATATGGAACTGGACAGAGCTGGCCTGTGCAGAGTGAAAGCAACCCCTAAAGGCTGGGGCTGCGGAAGCTAATGCAGGTTTACGGACAGCAGTAGTACAAAGCCGAGTGTGACGGTACCGTCCAAGAGCCAGAAGGGAGGAGGCCATCAGAGACAGGCTGGGGAGGGTTCCCTTAATGAGGTGACTTTGGACCTGGGCCTTGATGGACGGGAGATTTAAAGAGTGCAATAGGGATTAGAGAAAAGGGATTCCCTGTGGAGGGAACAGGGCAAGGAAGCCTAGGGAGCAGCAAGCTGTTCAGCATGGCTGGAACAAAGGGTGTGTGAAGGAGCAGCAAGTGAGACGGAGCTGGAGACGGCATTGGGAAAGACCAGGCAGGCAGGCAGGCCTAGAATGCTCGCAGAGTTCAGACTTGTCTTTAGTGGGCAGGCACAGGAGGCTTTGAGCACAATGCTTTAGAAAAAAAAGGGAAAGATGCTTTAGGTGGTCTTTTACATCAGAGGTTGAAAACCCACTCAGGTCACAGAGACTGAAATGCTGAGCAGTCCCAGCCAGAGGTGTGAGGATCTGGGCTGAAAGAGCGGGTGCAGGTGGCCAGAGGGGAGGCAGAGAGATGATGCCGAGATGGGATTTGAAAGCAATGGAGGGCCTGGCCGGGCATGGCTCAGTGGTTGAGCATCGACCTAGGATCCAGGTGATCACAGTTTGATTCCTGGTCAGGGCACATGCCTGGGTTGCGGGCTCTATCCCCAGTCAGGGGCTTGCAGGAGGCAGCCGATCAATTACTCTCATCATTGATGTTTCTCTTTCTCTCTCCCTCTCCCTTCCTCTCTCTGAAATCAATAAAGATACATATTTTTTAAAATAATAATAAATAAATGAAAGCAATGGAGGGCCCTATGGTTTTTCTCAGTGGTTAGAGCGTCCACCCACAGACTGAAAGGTCCTGTGTTCAATTCCAGCCAAGGGCAAGTTCCTGGGTTGCAGGCTCGATCCCCAGCCCCCATGGGAGGCAACCAATCAATGTGTCTCTCTCACGTCAATGTTTCTCTCTCTCTTTCTCCCTACCCCTTCCACTCTCTCTGAAAAGCAAAGGAAAAAATATTGAGGATTAAAAAAAAAAAAAAAAGCTATGGAGAACAAGAGACAGGGAGGAATTAAAGCTGACTGGTATCTAGTTGAAATGCCTAAGCTAAGGAAGTGACATTCTCAGGGACTGAGAGAGAAGTGACCCATGATTAAATACTCCTTTTGTATTCCTCAGAGTACAAGTTTCACATGAGACCAGTTAGGGGAGGCAGAAGTGATAACTCCCACCACCATCTCTTTTCTGGGACCCAGTAATAAGGTGCCTCTTCCCTTAGTGTCAGCTGTGATGCTGAGCTCACAGGCAGTCAGAACAAGAAGGGGTTTTGCTGCTTACTCTCTCCCTAATCGGGAGGAGGCCCCAAAGTAAAGCATAGGAGTCTGGAGCTGCAGTGGCACCTAGGGTAGGCCTGCTGCTGCCCTTGGCCCAGGAGCCCCCTACCCCTTTCTGCAAAGCCCCCAGCCTGGTCCCACCTTTCTGCCACCTGGGTGTACACTTCTTCCATCTGCCTGTTCCTTGGTCTCCCAAGGCTCCTCTGACCAGGTGGTGGGGACAGTGGTGAAAGCGTACCTTGAGTGGACCAGGAGATATCCCTGAAGGAGCAAATTTTTCCTGCCCTGGGATGGGAAGGCCTAGTTCATGAGGAAGTAGGGACCTGGGACAGAGCACCTGTGCTAACTCTGCCTCTCCCTGCAGATCCCACTCACCTCACTCCAGCCGCCATCCGAGCCACCAGCTTCCCCTTCCCTGAGCTCCGCCGAGGGACCGGCTACCTCGCTGCCTCTGGGGCGTTGTGCTGGGCAGAGAGAGGTAGGAGGGCTGGGCACAATGGTCTGTGGCTCTGCAGGCTATGGGCTTATCAGTTGCCACCATTGCTGTTTCCTAATGAGTCCCAGGGGGAGGCTGGGTCCTGGTGCACAGATTCTTGTCCAGACTGGGTATGAGCCCTCAGTTGTCACCTCATACCAAGAAAAGCAGATCCACCCCAACCACTGGCCTTGCAAGAAAATGTGTTAATACTGTGGTAAGAGTCATAGCTTCCTCTGGGCCAGGCACTGTGCTGAGCCCCTGGATCTCTTCTGTCTTATTTTATGAGGTTAAATATAATTAGCATCCATTGTACAGATGATATAATGAAGTTTAGCGAATCAGTAACTTGCCAAAGGCCATATAACTAGTTAAGTAGTAGATTGGTACTTGAACCTACAGTCTGGCCCCAGAACCCATGTAGTTAACCACTGTGTCAGACTGGACTGGGCACTGGAAGGGCTTCCCATAGAGTCATTCCCAACCCCCTTCTCCTTGGAGAGCAGGTCAGCAGGCCTCTGTCTGACCTAAGAAGGCCTGAGCTTGCTGCAGTGACTGACTTAGGACTTGGTCACATCACATCCCCTTCTCGAGTCTCTGTGTTCTTTCTAGGGCCTGAAAAATGAACAGCCCTGCCGACCCAAACAGCAGAGAGAAGTGGTGGGAAAGCGGGGCTGGGATAACCAGGAAGGGAAATGGGGTGCCCACCCAACCCCAGTCATGCCAGGAAAAACAGTAGGACTAATCAGGGCTCATGTCCCTTAAGGAAAATGAGCCATCATGTCCCAGGAGATGTCAGTTCCTTTTGGGGACATAGTCAAAACCAGACCCGCGTTGCTCCTGCCATACTCAGTTATGCGCAGTTCAGGTCCTGAGTATGCATGCGGTCTCCTCATGCTATTTCTCCCCCAAGGTGTGTTGGGAGCAGCAGCTGCGGCCAGGAGGCCCAGGACCCCCAGCCGCCCCACCCCCAGCGCTGGACGCCCTATCCCCATTCCTTCGAAAGAAAGCCCAGATCCTGGAGGTGCTGAGAGCCCTGGAAGAGACTGACCCCTTGCTTCTCTGCTCACCTGCCACCCCCTGGCGGCCTCCAAGTGAGGGTCCTGGCTCCCCAGAGCCTATCAATGGCGAGCTGTGTGGCCCACCTCAGCCTGAACCCTCACCTTGGGCCCCCTACCTGCTACTAGGCCCTGGTAGCCTGGGAGGACTGCTACACTGGGAACACTTCTTGGGGAACCCTGGGGAGGAAGAGGGTGTTGGGCAGCCCTGGGGCCCTAGTAGGGGCTCCCCCCAGGCCCAAGGTGCCATCTCTGGCCCACCCTGTGTCCCAGGCAGCAGCTCCTCCTCCTCTTCTGATGAGGCAGGTGACCCCAATGAGGCACCCAGCCCTGACACCCTGTTCGGGGCCCTGGCTCGCAAACAGTTGAACCTGGGCCAGCTCCTTGAGGACACAGAGTCTTACCTACAGGCCTTCCTGGCTGGGGCTGCAGGCTCATTCAACGGGGACCACCCAGGTCCCGGACAGCCGTCCTCCCCAGACCAGCGACCCCCACAGCTATCCAAGTCCAAAGGCCTCCCCAAGTCAGCTTGGGGTGGGGGTACCCCAGAGGTTCACAGGCCAGGCTTTGGTGCTACCTCAGAGGGCCAGGAGCCCCTCCCCTTCCTCAGCATGTTCATTGGTGCAGGGGATGCCCCCCTGGGCCCGCGACCTGGCCATCCCCTCTCCTCATCTCAGGTGAAAAGCAAGCTCCAAATTGGCCCCCCTTCTCCTGGGGAAGCCCAGGGACCCCTTCTGCCCTCTCCAGCCAGAGGTCTCAAGTTCCTAAAGCTGCCTCCAGCCTCAGAAAAGCTCCCCAGCCCAGGAGGCCCCCAGCTAAGCCCTCAGCTCCCCAGGAACTCCCGAATCCCTTGCAGGAACAGTGGCTCAGATGGCAGCCCCTCCCCACTGCTGGCCCGAAAAGGCCTGGGTGGAGGAGAGCTATCTCCAGAAGGGGCACAGGGCCTGCTCACCAGCCCTTCACCCTGCACCACAACCCCGGACTCTGCACAGCTCCGACCTCCCCAGCCAGCTTTGTCCACCACGCTGTCCCCTGGATCAGTGGTATCTCCCTGCTATGAGAATATCCTGGACCTTTCCCGGAGCACCTTCAGGGGGCCTTCTCCAGAGCCACCTCCATCCCCATTGCAGGTGCCCACCTACCCACAACTAACTCTAGAGGTGCAACAGGCCCCTGAGGTCCTCAGAAGCCCTGGGGCCCCCCTTAGCCCTTGCCTCCCAGAATCCTGCCCTTATGGAAGCCCCCAGGAGAAAAGTTTGGATAAGGCAGGCCTGGAGTCTCCCCATCCTGGACGCAGGACCCCAGGCAGCTCAGCCAAGAAGCCCAGCCAGGGGGCAGGACGGCGACCTGGAGATCCTGGCTATACACCTCTGCGGGACAGACTGGCAGCCCTGGGGAAACTGAAGACTGGCTCTGAGGGGCCCCAGGGCCCAGAGAAGAATGGGGTGCCAGTCAGGCCTGGCACCGAGAAGGCTCGGGGAGCAGGGAGGTCAGGGGAGACTCCTGGAGACATGGCACTCTCCATCTCCAGGCCCCCTGAGCAGCCAGAAGCCAAGGGGGCCCTGCGGGGGGCAGTGGCCTTGGGCACAAGCAGCCTGAAGCAGCAGGAACCTGGGCTCCTGGGGGACCCTGGGGCCCGAGTCTACTCCTCCCACTCCATGGGGGCTCGGGTGGACCTGGAGCCTGTCTCACCAAGGAGCTGCCTCACCAAAGTGGAGCTGGCCAAGAGCCGGCTGGCAGGGGCCCTGTGCCCCCAGGTACCCCGCACTCCTGCCAAAGTGCCAACCTCAGCCCCCAGCCTGAGCAAGCCCAATAAGAGCCCCCACGGCAGCCCGACAAAGCTACCTTCCAAGTCACCTACCAAGGTGGTGCCCCGACCTGTGGTCCCGCCAGCCACCAAGGAGCCCCCCAAGCCTGACAAGGGGAAGGGCCCACCTTGGACAGACTGTGGTGGCACCACGGCCCAGCCCACACCCTCAGCACCAGGCCCCACTGACCCAAGCCAGGGCCCTGAGGGGCGTGCCCCACACTCGGCCATTGAGGAGAAGGTGATGAAGGGCATCCAGGAGAATGTACTGCGGCTCCAGGGCCAGGAGCGGGCACCAGGCACCGAGGCCAAGCACCGTAACACTAGCAGCATTGCCAGCTGGTTTGGCCTTAAGAAGAGCAAGCTGCCAGCGCTGAACCGCCGCACAGAGGCCACCAAGAGCAAGGAAGGGGCCAGCGGGGGCTCCCCACTGCGGAAGGAGGTCAAGGTGGAATCGCGGAAGCTGGAGGCAGAGAGCCTCAACATCTCCAAGCTGATGGCCAAGGCGGAGGATTTGCGCCGGGCGCTGGAGGAGGAGAAGGCCTACCTGAGCAGCAGGGCCCGGCCGCGGCCCGGGGCACCGGCACCAGGGCCCAGTGCAGGGCTGGGGCAGGTCCAGGGCCAGCTGGCTGGCATGTACCAGGGTGCAGACACCTTCATGCAGCAGCTGCTCAACAGGTGAGAGCCTGGGACCGGTCAGCAGGTGCTTGGTGACTGGGGGCACTTATCTCTCCATGGGCACACCAGAGACTTGCTAGGACTTCCTGGCCTGGGAGCTTGGGCTTCACAGAGGTCAAAGGGGGTCAGAGGTCAAGCAGAATGCCATCAAAGTATCTGGGGGTTAGTGGCCTGACCAAGAGGAAAGATGAGGGGTTTGTTCCCTGGCTCCCTGCCTTTCCACGTCTCTGGCTCTCTGACATCAGACTTGCTGAGATCCAGCTTCTCATTTGGGAAGAGGGAACTGCCCACTTTCCTCGATGTCTCTGGTGTCAGGTGAGGCAGCCTACTAAGTGTCTGCACACAGCAGTCAAGGGGATGCTAGTTCTAGACCATGGCCTGATGAAGGTCTCACTCGGGTTTCCCATCCTATAGAACAAGGAGGGTCTCCTTCCCATCATGCCCTTTGGCATCTGCCACAGACCGGGCAATGGGAGCTGTGGTTTACAGAAGGGGCCACCCCATCTTGGGGTTGCTCTCTGTGGGCTAGGTTAAGGCAGAATGTCCGCAGGAATTGGGCCCCAGGAAGGTGTGATTTGGACAGCAAGTACACCTCAGATTCAGCCAGGGCGGATAGAGTGTTGTGAGTGGGCCAGGATGTGACCGGGCCTGCCAACATTGTTGAATGGTCCCTAGGCTTGACTCTGGATAGCTTTAGGAGAGTTCTCCCATCTTTCCTGCCCCTGCTATTTCTCTGGGGTTTTCCCTAGGGTTTCTGCCTGTTCCCAGTGTCAGAAGGGGGTGCTGGGGCAGCCACCAGGGATATGTCCCCTTCCCCAGGGAGAGGGGGTGCCTCACTAGGCCCACACCATACTTGGGAGCAAGGCCTCCCTCATCTCCTGCACTGCTGCCCCTAGGGTGGATGGCAAGGAGCTGCCACCCAAGAGCTGGAGGGAGCCCAAACCCGAGTATGGTGACTTCCAGCCAGTGTCCTCTGACCCCAAGAACCCCTGGCCAGCCTCTGGGCCCCGAAATGGCCTGGTTGGCCCTCTTCAGAGCTGCGGAAAACCTGGAAAAGTAAGTTCTTGGGGCAGGGGCTGGGTGGAGGGCTGGTCCCTTGGTTCTGCCAGATCTCTTACCCCTCGAGGGCTCCCCTCCCTGAGGCCAGAAGCTGCTGGATGCACTTCTGGTGGTGGTGGTGGGGGGGGGGCTGTAGGGGGAGCTGGGAAGGGGAAACACCTTTTGGTACTCTCAGATCCATAATCCAGGGGTCCTAATGATGAGGCTTGGAGAGGGGTTTGGGGTAGGGGAAGAATGGGCTCAGAAGTCTCCTGTTTCCCACAGCCAAGCATGGAGCCAGGAAGGCGAGAAGAGATGCCCTCAGAGGACAGCCTGACCGAGCCAGTGCCCACCTCACACTTCACAGGTCAGCAGGGCGAAGGGCCAAGGATGGGACTTTACTCCTTCCTGTCACTGCATCAGGTGCCAGGCCCTGAGTGCCATCTTTGTGCCAATCACCAGGTGGGCACTCAGGCTGCACAGAAATATCACTTCCTGCCCTCGGGGTACCTGCCACGCTTCCCCAAAGCTAGGGGAGGTGGGACAGGGTAAGCAGAGAAAACTGAGCCTGTTGATCCTGTAGGGGCCTGGACCGGTATGTTGGGGCAGGAAGCTGGGAGAAGAAGGCAGAGTGAATGAGCTACCTACAGCCTCACATTCGTGACTTACCCTTCCCTCCCCCAGCCTGTGGCTCCTTGACTCGAACCCTGGACAGTGGCATTGGGACCTTCCCACCCCCAGACCATGGCAGCAGTGGGACCCCCAGCAAGAATCCTCCCAAGACCAAACCACGGCTGGAGCCCCCACCCGGGGGTCCCCCAGCTCGGCCGCCTCCCCTTACCAAAGTCCCTCGCCGCGCCCACACACTGGAGCGTGAGGTGCCCGGCATAGAGGAGCTGCTGGTGAGTGGGCGGCACCCCAGCATGCCGGCCTTCCCCGCACTGCTCACTGCTGCTCCGGGCCACCAGGGCCATCAGACCTGTCCTGACGGTGAGTGTCCATGCAGGTGGGTGGCTGTCCTTGGGACTCCGCCCACCACTACCACTGCTACCTACTTTGCCCTTTTCACCACATAGATCCCTGTGAAGACCCTGGACCTCCCCCTCCTGTCCAGCTGGCCAAAAACTGGACCTTTCCCAACGCCAGGGCAGCTGGTGGCTCCACTGACCCTTTCCTGTGCCCACCCCGACAATTGGAGGGGCTGCCCAGGACCCCCATGGTGAGCATAGCTGAAGGGGAAAGGGAATAGGACTGGAGGGCAGAAGGATAAAAGGGGGAGACCAGTTTTTCCCATGAGGTACAGCCGTCCCAGGGGAGGATTGAAGGAACAGCTCCTTGGATGTCCCTCTGGGCAGCCCACCCACCTCCCTTCTTATACCCCTCTGTGGAAAGGGTTTCTCTCCCTCTACAGAACCTCGGTAGGACTGTGCTCAGTCATGCCTCCGGCCTGCTTCCTCTTGGTGCAGAGCCCAGGGCCTTTCAGGCAGGGCCAGGAGGTGAGAGGAGCTTCCTCCTAAGCTTCCCTCCCTTTCCCAGGCCCTGCCTGTGGACCGAAAGCGGAGCCTGGAGCCCAGCCGCCCAACCGCTACAACGCCCCAGGGCCCTGCATTTGGGGGTAGCCGCACTCCCAGCACATCGGACATGGGTGAGGAAGGCAGAGTGGCCAGTGGGGGCCCCCCAGGGCTGGAGACCTCAGAGTCTCTCAGCGACTCGCTCTACGACTCCCTCTCCTCCTGCGGGAGTCAGGGCTGAGGAGCTGCACGGCGGCCCCTCTCAGACCACAGATTGGACCGGCTCTCCTTGGGCCCTGCCCCCTCCAGGCCAGTGGGGCTCCTCCCTGAAGGGACCAAGGGGGCAGATAGATAAGAAGGTGAAGGGGGTCCCTGGCACTCCCCACTGCCCACCGCTGCTGTGGAGGAGATGACCACTCTCAGCTCAGGGAGAGACCCCACCTTTGGTCCCTCCTCTCACCCAGAGTAAGGCTCTTCCTCCGAGGGACTGGGTTTCCAGGTCGCTGTCCCAGCCCTAGCTCCTACTTCAGGCTGAGCCATCTTGTGGTGCTGGGCTTCCTGCCCGCCAGCTGTGCCATCTCCGCCCGACCCGGCTGCTCCCTGCCCGAGCCCCCACGGGGCCACCAGAGGCCCTGCGCTGGTGGAGTTTGGAGGCGAGGGGTCAAGTTGCCTTCTCTCTCATCTGCCCTGATCCTCCTTGCTATCTGGATGGTGCTGCCCTCCCCTGCCCTATGTCTTTGGAGTCTATTTGTCTGTCTTTTTTTTTGTTTTTTTATATTAAAGCACCTGGCCCACTCCCCACCCCCATCCCGCACTGCGGTTAATTTATCTGTCCTTATACATGCGGCTGCTCTGCTTCCAGCCTCTGCTTCTGCGGTATCCCTAATAAAACGTGGAGGCCTCTCTGTTCCCCCTACTCAGCTTGTTCTGTGGGAGGACACAGGGATGGACAGGTGGGTGGAGAGTGTGTGGGAACCAGGGTGATGGGGTGAGGGTGAGACTCTGTCCCAGGCACCCTTGTAAAGCAACCCCCCTACCAGGAGAGCTGGCTGGGGTCTCCTCAGAAGGTAACTAAGGATTGGGGGGTTGGGGTTTGCTTAAGCCTGGAATGGTGCCTGGGTTGGGGAGATTGCCCTGGCCCAGGCTTGGGCAGGACAGAAGGCAAGCTGCCCCTTGAGGAGGGTCACCATGGGCATGCATTTAAGCCCCTGTACATATCACATGGGGTGGGACCCTCAAACTCTGGGCTTCAGGGGTTAGAGGATAAGCAGAGTTAAGTGTCTACAGCCTCCTGTGGCCATGAAGGGAGGCACAACTGGATCTGAAACTGTTGCCACCCTATAATTTCTCCTCAGATTTTGGGCTTTCCCCAGATCATGCCCCTATTCTACCTCATTTCAACCAGAAGTCCCCCTGGCTCTCAAATTCTCACTTTAGGAAGGGGAGGCCAGAAATGAGGCTGTGCAGAAGGGTATAGACTTCCAGGAGTTATTTCAGACTCCACATGGAATGAGAAGGCCAGGGAGTGGTTGTGCCCCTCCAGCCCTTGGATTTCCTGTTGGGCATGGAGCTGGGCAATGATCGGAAGGTGAACCAGGTGGCACGCAGCTCATCTCATGTTGGCCAGCCTCCTGCCCACCTGGGGTGCAAGGTGAGATACTCTTCCAGAGTGCCTTTCTGACATAGTCTACACTTGCTGCCTCCCTGTGGCATACAGTCTGGAGGCCACCTGGGCAGTGTGCACACTCAGTACCCATGGCCTTGTGGCTGGGACTCCAGATTGTTCCTCATGGGCATGGGCACCCTGTAGTAGACACGTAGTGTATTGGCACCACAAATTTGTTGAGCTAAGGTCAGGGAATAGTGCTGGGCACATTCACAACTCAGTTATACTGTGGACGCTGTCCTGGGCTCTGGCTAGCCCAAGGAAGATTGGGAGTAGGGAGGATGTCAGCATCTCCTTTTATACTAATTCCTTCCAGCAGTGTCTCTCCAGCCCCCAAATGCTCCAGAGAGTAGTAAAAGAACTTCCCATTAGAACAAACACCTACCATATTGCTAGCTTCCTGATCCCTAACCCCCACACAGCCCTGCTGGAGGAAGCACCATCATCCTCATTCCACAGATGAAGACTTCAAGGCTAAGAAACATTCAGTGGTTGTCCAAGGCTGAGAAGTGATGGAGCCTGGAGGGAGTGGTTTCTTTTTGGGTGTGTATTTTTGCTTTCTTCTCCCTGGACTTTAATCTCCTGTTCCTTTTCTGACCTATGGATCCCTCCTGATGTGCAGGGGTTCAGAGCAATGGACTGGAAGTCAAGAGTCTTAGCCCGAGTCTAGTTTTATGGGGAGAGTTGCATTCCTTCTCCAGGCCTTGTTTTTCTTACCTACAGAGGATTAGGAGGTTGGACCAGACCAGCTGGTCCCATCAGCCAGACTTTCCCCTTAGCTCTCTGCTCTTCCTTACCCCTGCCTCAATCTGGCCTCTCCCTCCTGTTTCCCTTAGTTAATATCATCACTGAAGAAATTAACAAGAGTTAGAGAAGCCTCAAGTCAAGTGTCTTGGTTTTCTTTAAATATCAGAATCCCACCCTGGCTGGTGTGGCTCAGTTGGTTGGAGCATCATCCTGTGGACCAGAAGGTGGCAGGTTTGGTTCCTGGTCAGGGCACATGTGGGAGGCAATCTCTCGCATGTCAATGTTTCCCTCCCTCCCTCCTCCCTCCCTCCTCCATCTCTTCCTTCCTCTCTCTCCCAAATCAATAAAAACATATCCTAGGGTGAGGATTTAAAAATATATATTTTAAAAAATCAGAATCCCAATTTCTTCCACCTTCTACTTCCAAGTTCCTACCCCACTGTGCCTTCCGCATTTATGGGTGTAAATGTGATATTACCAAGCTGCAAATCTCTGCTTCCTGCCAGGCAGGCTCAAAGAAGTCTGCCTCCTCCTAAGTTACTATTTCTTGGTTTTCAAGCCCTTTGCTCTATTTGAACCTGATGGATTACCTCATTGCCTCGTTAGAACAGAACTGTTTGCCTGCAGGCTATTTATTCCATTCCTTTCGGGGAAGGAGCTTGGCATGGTGAGTTTGACTCCTCTCCACCTCTTACAAGCTGAGACCAATGGGTCCATCCATGTTTGGGTCACCAGGGTCTGGTCAGTCTGCTGCTGCCAGGCTGTTCTCCAGTGTTTGCAAATGCAAGGGGTCACTTTGGTCCCTGGGGCAGTGTGGGCTGTCAGTCACCAAAGCAGGGTAGCATCAGCCACACCTGGAGCCAGCCCTTCCCCACCAACCATTTCAGGGTGGGCAGCTCCGTTCCTAAATCCTGCATCACGCGGCCAAGGGGCGCTGGGCCCAGGCAAGCCATCCCACAGCCCGCTTAACTGTGCGTGCCCTCTGCACAGACCAGATATTCCACCTGAAGTAATTCTGTGGAGGGGGACACGCGGGTGAGTTAAAGGCACTCCTGGGAAACTGATTTCTCCTTGTACTTCAGGGAAAGGTTTGGCTGAAAGGCCACTTGATGCTCACCAGGGCAGAACACTTCGTATCTCAGTTTGCAGCATCTCCTTGCAGGATTAAGGTAACCTCACTGTTTTCTCCATGAACAATGGGTGAATGTTCGCCAGACCATTCAAAGGAAACCAAAACCGCCAGACCCCCGCCCCTTCATTCAAGGCATCAGCAAGACTATGAAAAGGTTTCAGGCTCCACTTCGCTGGGAATCCTATGTTTTGTAGGAATGTCCCAGAAAGTTAACCGAGGTTTCCTCAGGACTGCCAGTGTTTTTTATTTTCTTTACTCTTTCCTAGATTTTCTACAAATAGTGGTTTGTTTTCTTTTTAAAAAAATATTTTTTAATTGATTTTTAGAGAGAGGGGGAGAGAGAGAGGGAAACATCCATGTGGGAGCAAAACATCAATTGATTGGCTGCCTCCTGCACGCCGCGCCCCACTGGGGATTGAGCCCACAACCGGGCATGTGCCCTGACCAAGAATGGAACCAGCAACCTTACCATGCAAGGGATGATGCCCGACCAACTGAGCCACAACAGCCAGGGCTGTTTTGTTTTTATCGATAAAAAAGTTTTAAGAAAATAATCATGCTCTGCAGAAAATTCTAGATATATACCCCCAACTCCTATGTGAATTAATTCAAGCATATAAATAAACTTTTTTAAAGGCATGTGAATTTTTTTTTCTGATACTTCTATTGTTTTTCTCTAGATTTAGCTCTTTAGGCATGAGAATTTGAAGTAAATACAGCTGAGCATTTCTATGATACTGGAATGGGGAAGAACTTTTTTTTTAAGTTAAAAACATTTTTTTAATTAAAATAATTACACTTTTTTTATAATTATTAAAGTCTGGCTGATGGGACCAGCAAATTATAAAAGTGCATGTTCATGGTTGTTGTTTTTTTAAGGTAATTGAAATTAAACAGAATGTTATACAAGGAAGAGAGAAGAGTCTTTTTCATACTCCAACTACCATCCTCACTCCTCAGACAAAACCTGAGTTGATTGGTAATCCTTTCAAATCATCTTTTTAAATACACACACAGCATGTTTATATTGCCCTTTTATTAGACAATGAGATTATTCTATAGTTACTGATTTGCTGCTTCTTTCAGCACTTACTATGTCTTGGAGATCTTTCCAAAGCCCATGAATCTCCGTGATTATGCACCATCTTCCATTGTACGGATGTGCCATGTTTATTTCTTGTGCCATCACAAAATGCTGCAGTGGACTGCAAACGTGTCTTTGGCCACTTGTGTATTTCCATAAGACAAATTCCTATAAATGAATTGCTGGATCATATATTATGCTTAATTTAAATGTTTTATAGATATTAACAAGTTGCACTTCATCAACAATGTACAAGAGAGACTATCTTTCACATCATTGAGCATTATCGAATTTTTTATTCTTAGCCAATTTGGTTGGAGTAAGTAATCAGTAGAGTTTGTAGCCCAATGTAGGGACTTCGCTTTTACTCAGAGTGAAATGGGGAGCCATTAGAGAGTGATAAGAATGAACTATAGAGGGCAAGTGTGGAAACAAACCAGTAAGGAGCCCCCTTAGGTAACTTTAGTGAGAGATAGTAGTGACTTGTTCCAGGGTGGAGACACTATAGACAAGATTTGCTCATGTAATGGGCACAAGGAAAGGAAAAGAGTCAAGGACAACTCCAAGGTGTTTGGAGCCACTGGTAGGAAGAAGTTGCCATTAACTGATATTGGGGAGACTGTGGCTAGAGCAGACTTGGGGGAGGGGCAATCAGGAGTTAAGTGTTGGACATATTAAACTTGGGATGTCTATTGGACAACATCCAGTGGAAAATATGCAGTAAAGTAAGCAGTTGGTTATAGAAGTCCAGAGTTCAGAAAAGAAACCTGGGCTGGCGGTATAAATTATAGTAAGTCATCAGCATATGAATGTCATTTGAAGTCAGGGGACTGGATGAGACCACCAAGGGAGTAAGAAGAGAAAAGGTCTTAACCCTGGGACACTCCATTTCTTTAGAGGTCAGACAACTGAGGAGAAAACAGCACAGGAGACTGAAAAGATGGTATCAAGAGACTGTGAGGTCCTGGAATATAAGCGAAGAAAACATTTCTGGAAAAATTAATCAGTCAAATCTGCTGATGTGTCTGGCAAGATAAGGATTGAAGATTGGTTTTGAGTTTAGCAACATAGAGATCATTGGTGACCTTTGCAAGAGCACTGATGGAAATGGAAGCTAATTGGAGTGGTTCAAGAGCAAATGGGAAAGGATGGACTGGAGTATAGATGACTCTTCTAAGGAGTAGGGAGAAGAGAACAGGAGAGGGAAGTGGGGTCTAGTAATGAGGTTTTTAATATTTTTAAGTCTTATTTTTGAAACTATCAAGTTTACATAAATGTTTCAAGTAT